ATAGTATTTGCAAGTTTTGCAGTTGCAGCTTTACGTGCTTGCTTTTCGCGATCTACACTTCGTTTCAGTTCTTCATTCTTAAAAAAGTGTGAAAATAAGGCTTAATTTTTGATTATCAACGTAGAAAGAGAAAGAAAGTTATTTTTATTATAACTTCCGGTAGCACCAAGTTTTGAACTTGTAATTCTCAAAAAAGATAAAAGTACTAGTGGCTTTTGCTACAATAATTGGCTTATCGTATAGCTTATTGTATGACAGACTGCGACCAGTACTTTATTCTGATTAGCATGAGAAACTCTGCCACCACACGTTAAAAGTTACTAGAACACTTTACAAAAAGCAACTGTGCTTTTTTTCTACCTAAAGCTGTGCTTGAAAGGAATCTCCTGACAACCGGTCAACTTTTTTACTTCAGATTATTTTTTCAAATTACTAACAAGCCTTGAAAATTTTTAATCTTATTTTTTTTCCTAATACTTTTCGCATTTTCTGATATAGATTTCTCTGCCTTTTCATTTTTTGTCTCTTATTGGCGTTTTTTGTCTCTTACTTTTAATGCCGTCTCTTCTTGATATGAGAAGTGTTATTACCTTTTCGTAAAAGATAACATTGCTGCTAATAACCTTAACTTTGATAATGCTCTTTCAGCTTTTGCTTGGTCTTTGACTTAACTACGAGACTTGCTTTTTTTTTCTTCCTACAAGTAAAGCTGTCGCAGACTTTTCTAATGTAGAAGGCATTGTTAACGCGAAGAGAAAAAACAACATTGTATCAAATCAAGTGGTTTATTCTTTGTGAAAATACGCTTTAAAAAGTAATATAACGACTACAGAGTTATGGCGTTAAAATACAGATGCTGTAAATGATTTTAAAGTATTACGGTTACTGTGTAGATTTATGGTCCTTAAGAAGCTTAGTAGTCTTTTCAGAGTTAGAAGTACGAGGAGAGGCCAAAAAATCATAGAAGCAGTTTTACTATAACTGATTTAACAAAAGCTATTATTGAAAGAGAGGGAGAGTCAGTCTTGCTAGATAATAAGGTATGCATATTTTAGCTGAAGAAGGCAGCTGATTAGAAAAAAACAAATTTCAGCTTAATGTTTCGTAACTTTTGATTGGTGGCGTTAAATATCGAGAGGAAAAATTTATATAAAATGAAATTTTTTCGGTCGACACAAACGTCATTTTCTTCTAGTATACGCGCTTTCTCATACCTCTTCCTTATTCTATAATTTGTAAATGTTCTTCAGTAATATTTTTATTATTTTTAATTTTATCAGTTCTTTACTTTCTTTTTCTCCAAATGGAATTTCATTTTTTCTTTTACAAACGTTTCCTTGGGAGCAACTGCAAAATTTCCTCCAAAATTCTATTTAGCGACCAACTGTAACTGTGCAAGAAGCAAGTTCACACAACAAACCGATAAATAAAGTAAATTAAAAGTGATTTTTTCTGATTTTATTAATCCACAAAGCTATCTAGTTTCAATTGTTTTTTTAGATTAATATGCATCATGCTGATTGGCTGGATAAGAAACAGCCAACAGGAAAACTTTATTACTTTTAGATCAAATGGATGTCAGCAACAGTATTTCCAAAATGATGATGAAAGATACTGCTGTGTTGTTGTCGTATTATGCCGTTTATAGTACCTAGCAAGCCTCTCTAGACCAAATAACATAAATCACTGTTCCCTCGGCTATCCTGGCTGATGTCGAAAGCTGTGCAGAGAATCCAACAGATGGTACTTGACTCTGCACAATCATCTTGACGCCTCGGGATTTAACAAAAGATCGCCTTATGCTAAATTTGCAGAACTCTTACTTTTTCACTTACTTTGCTAAAACTAAATTCTAACTGTCGTTTTTGTAGATCCTGCGAACTTCTGCAGAGTGCTGTATCAAAATTTTACTCCCGCGGTACTCAATTAATGACTCTCGCTTCATTTGAGCTAATCAAGTTGATCCAACAAATCACCATCTTACAGTGAACCCCCAATTATATTGACGTGCTCCTGATTACACAAGATATTTTGTCATATTATAACTATGATAAATGAAAAAGTTTTTTACAAATTTAACAACTTAAAATCAAATGCGGTTTACTCGTGACAAAACTGAGCTGACAAAAATATATTCTACCACTGTTTAAAGTATCTTGAAAAAAAAAGAGATAAGTTTCAGAATTACAAAAACTTGAAAGACGTTCTTCTGTCTGCATACCTTTCTAAATATACCCAACTTCCGCTGCATATGTAGTCAAGGATTTTACTATGAAATGTGTTATTCGCAAACAGTCAGCAATTATAAACCAAAGAATGCAACTCAACTACCTCACTGGTGAAAAATCGGTGGCTACACTAGTTGCAAAAAAAAAGGGTGAAAAACACCAACGCGACATGTTTCCAAGTGCCTATTTTGTTGAATTCAATACCGGAAAAAACAGCTCAAACAGATGCGTCGTAAAAAAAAATTGCGTAAGCTAAAAAGCTAAAAATTTGCCACAGGTATTTTTGGAGCATCTTTACAAAACTGAAGAATGCCTAAAAATTCTGTTAAGTTCTTCTCTAAAAAATGTGACAAAAGCCCAAAATTTTCTTGAAAATTACGCAAAAGTGGTGCTCTTCTGCACACGCGGTCAAGTGTTATATAGAACAAAAAACCGATCATAGTTCAAAATGTTGAAAACAGGAAAACATTCAGTCATAAATTTCTTGGAAAAAGAGATCTGGAATCGCTGATCACAGCATATTACTCTACGGAACTCACAACAGCCGAGGCGATCAGTGCAACCTTAACACTTATTGATGGCAGAGCAATTTTTTTATAGGCTGTACCGCTATGCAAAA